GGAGATCTAGGCTATTTCATATTGGACTTAAAAACCACAAAGAATTAAGTCTGCCAAGAGGCACTGAGCTGTCAAATTTGTTATCTCAGGAGAATAATAAATGCAGGATAAGGATGTCTACAGTCTCTTCTGGAGTTTAGCTTCCCCCCCCCTTCCTTTGCTTTGTAGGATAAATTGTTCTGCCAATCCACAAATTCAATATTCAGTACGTTAATGCAGTCTAGCTATGAATGGCCGCTCTCAGCATGGTAATCCACCAAAACTAATTAGGTATGCTATCCACAATTTCTGCCATTGCTATCTTCACTTTTTAAAATGTTTGCAAGAAGCTGAGAAAATAAAAAGGCTAGGCTTTCAAAAAAACTTATCCCTTACTTACAGACTGAAAATTGGAGGATACATTTTCAAAAGCTGTCCTTTCATCTTTATCACAATTTGGTCGATAGTTAGGTGTCTCTACATGGGAATTTTTACAAAGTAATGTTTCTTCCTTCTGACTCATGTAATAATAATGTTTTATAAAGATTTCATTTTAGTGTGCCCGTGAACATGCCTGGAGTTGAGCTTTTTCTCTGCAGAGAACCAGTCCTCTTCTCGCAGTTTGCATTGTATCCTGATTAGGTTCTGCTTTGGTTTTCCTCCTTAGAAGCAGACTTTCCATTTCCTTTCCTCAGATGTTCTTCAGCTGTATCACCCATCTTCCCCCATTGCCTGTTGGACATCTGCTGGTAACATTTATAAACCTGTACAATTTCTTCTGGTGCAAAGTTGTGCCTAGTGATTGAAAATGCGGCGCATCCACCTACGTCAATGGCCACATGCATGGGTGACACCAGGCCACTATTTGCCCCGTGCCCTGATGTGTCCTGTTGAAAGCAGCAAGGAATTGGCACCAATACATATTTCCAGGCTACAGCTGCCTTCAGTCTGGTCACCACAGCCCTCTGACATGTCTGTCCCCAGTCACCCATCTTGATGGGCCCGTAAGTCGAATCAGCTACAACTGGAGTCTAGAGCAGGAAGAGGTGATCAGGGCCCAACTTTCTCCACAACACTAAACCATGGGGCTCTGTTCCCACTCTGCTCCTTAAATACCAGCAGGAGGAGAATTTGTGTCTAAAGATCTGACACAGTGTACCTGAAATGGGGCACCCAGAAATTATTACACCCCAAACTTGAGTCTGTCTTCAACAGTTCAGGTTTGTCCCCCAGAATGATAACATCTACTCCCACCTGAGAAGATTTTTGAATGCAAAATCAGTATTTATTGTTGCAAGCCAAATGTCTCAAAAGAGGACATGCTTTTTTAGATCAGCAGTGGTAGGCTATTATTTCCAAATATTTTGGGGATTCCTGGCTAGCCTTCCCATTCCAAGAGCACAACATTATATCCACAGATCTTGTATTTGCCAGTGGTAGCACATAGCTATTTAATGAGTTATTTGTGGTCAGAAACCAGTTGACAAAACTCCAAGTTGTACCAGCTGGCCTCAAAATTTAACTGGCATAATTGTAGACTGTTGTTGAGATAACTGCTCAGGATAAGGATCTCTTTTTTTTGTATGAATTAGATAGGAGCCTTTGACAATAACAACAATCCTCAGTATAAACGTCACTGTCTATTAACGACAAAGCCCGTGTCACCATAAATTCACTTAAGATGCAAAACTGTAACATCTGTATGAGTAGACCAGCATTGAGTGCTGCTGTGTTTTGTCTCTTTAATAATTACTGGCAGCTCTCCCTCTCCAACTACTTTGCAGCCAGCTGGAAGATCATGAAAAGGTATTTGATTTAGCTGTGTCCCACAAAATGATACTATCCAGCTCAGCCTACAAGTGTTGAGTGTAGTGATAAGCAGTTTAAGAGCTGTGGAAGAGTTAGCTTGCTTGCTTTTTGGCTGCATGATGCCCTTTTTAGCCCAGACCACAGGGCTAACAGGGATTAAGGGAATCTCGGTGTTCAGTGATACAAGGGGCTCAGGAACAGTTGTGCAGTGGATCGAAGACACCAGGGGCAGCAGGGGTGAAGGAGATGGCTATTTGCACTGGAATGCGAGGGACGAAGGTGGATAGGGTCTTTGCATGGTCCCTGCTCATCCAGCCTCAGACCAGGACTTGGAGGGGGGTATCATTTCAGCCATCTTGTCTTAACACTGCTGCTGCCACTGTGTCCTCGTTGCTGGGGTCCAGAGCCCAGGCTTGTTCCTGGAGCTGTGCAGGAGGACCCTTGGGTAAGGGCAGGGCGCTCAAGCCACCGAATCATAGAATCATAGAATGGTTTATGTTGGAAAAGACCTTTAAGATCATCAAGTCCAACTGTTAGCCTAACCCTGCCATCCCAGCACTAAACCATGTCCCTAAGCACCTTGTCTACCTGTCTTTTAAATACCTCCAGGGATGGGGACTCAACCAAAGCACAGTCTGGTGCTTCACAGAGTCCATGGCAGCAAGGGCAAACAAGCAGAGTAAGGACAGATGGACACAGCAGCTCCATACAGGATCAGGCCTACTGCCCTGACATACCGGAAAAAAATCAGAACCATTGCCTTTATGGCTGTCACAACATACTCTGGTTGTCACGATTAATCTCCCACCTTTTGCACCAAAATAATTCTGTTTGCTCTTATTGGAGCTTTTAAATTGCATTTCCAAAATTCATGGCATGGTGAGACATATTAGGAGAAATAGTTTCCTTTTCTGTTTCATATGGGCTCAGTTGCAAAACAAGTGGTTTCAGAGGGATGGGTCACACTTGCTGTGTAAACAGAGACTTCGCCAGACGAGGCCCCAGTGCGGAGGGATACGAGACAAAGAGGGACTCGAGGGCATCAGCACCTTTCCATGTCACTGTCTTGCATTACTACCTTTAACTAGTGCAGATTCAACCATGTCATTGTGTTCTAATTTCTTCGTCATATTAAATACACTTCTAAAGGAAAATAGCCCAACATTAAAACCCATCCAGTGGGGTCCTTTGCCACATGTCTAGTTGTAATGTTATTACTCACATACCTAAAAAATTTAGTTAGATTTATTGTATACTTAGAACATGAAATTTAGAAGAAATACTGAGTCACAATCTGCTGGATGGGGATGGGGTGCTTTCAGCCTGCCTTTAGCTATCTGCCTCTATCATCAGTGGAATGATGGCACTTTTAGAGCAATTCATCCCATCCAAAATAAGCCTCTAAAATGCTTTTTAAATGCAAAATATTTTCTCTGTGGAAGTTTCACTGACATCCATCTTTCAGAATAATGCACTTACCTGTGCTGCAGGCCAGAGGGGAGCACAGAGGCTCATCGCACAGCCTTAACAGGCCAGGTACGAGCAGTACCACACAAGCTTCCCATAGAAGTGGCCTCTGAGAATGATGAGGATGCCTACGTTTCTATTCCTGCACCCTGAGCTTGGCAGAATTAGCAGCATTTTTAGGATTTCTTCTTCTTGCCTTTTGATACTTTAAGATTTGCAAAGGGTGCTCACACTTTCTATTAGCGGAGCATGATGGAAAGCTTTTTCTCAAGTGTCACCTTTACAATATGTCTAACCATGGATGAGACTAAAGGAGATTTCTACAGCTACTTCAAATTCATATTCACTCATTTTAAGGCCAGGTGGGGTCATGAAGTTATCAAGCCTTGCCTTGTGCATGACACAGACTGCAGCATTTTCTGTATTCTTAAGTAGGACGAGGATTTTCACATTGACAACACTGTAAGGTTTTATTCCTTGTTTTCTTTAATCCTCCATGATTTGTTCCATTCTGCAGCCTTTCTCTTCTCCATTCCTCTTTCC